AGAGAACTCACTGTACTCGCCATATTCCAATAACCATGTTGGACAAAGCTTGAAATGTTTATATTTGAATGAACATCGATTTCAACACCTGTGAGGATAACTGGCCTAAACCAGGTTGTTTTTCAGTCAGTGAGATACGAAGTCAAATCATTTGCCCTTGACTTCAGTTCATGATTCACATGTACATTCCTGTTTAGCATTGATGGAAGGGTTCACAAGATGAGCTTAGTTTTGCTCTTCCCAGTTTGACTGTAATTTACAAAAAGTCACATTTGCTTTTTGGAGTCACGAGTAAGGTTATGATGTATTTTTAAAAAACAAGTCTCTCAGCCTTATTAAACAACTCAGCATAGGGCAACTCAACCATGTATTAAGCAAGCCATGTTTCCATAATTTTATGACACCTGCAGTGCATGGATGAATAACGACGTTTGGTCGAAGGAATGCACGTTCTAATACCAACAGATTTACATTGATCAACACTCTTACTTATACGCAGAAACGCCAGTGACCTGGACTACTAGCAAAGGTCGGGTTTGAATCCCGCAGATCAGGCTTTACACATACGAGTTACTTTTCCAAATACGCAGGGCGCAGTCGTACCATTTCCTTGACTCTAGTTTCAGAGGGTTCCCTGTAAGCAGACCGTAATACCATGGACTTGAGCCAGAATAGCATGAGTGACTGCGTTATTCTGTGCACGTTTCGATATTATGAATTGAGGTATGTTGCACGAAGATGCCTTAACAGATGTTTGACCATAGGTTTGACCTTAATGTCGATCAGTCTTTGGAACTTTCTTGATACCAGAAGCATTCCTTCTTGTCGAGCACTAGCCTGTTCAAACAATGTTGTGTAAAGAAGATCGCTTCACTTGGACTAACTCATCGCTCACACGCTACATCTTCTCCCTCATATCACTCTCATGCTTGAGCAGTCGAGATTGTTAAGTGGTACATCAAACAGAAGTCTCGGCGTGAGGTTAGTCGAATGATTCGAACGTATTTAAAAACAGGTGCATTTTTCCTCCTGTAATTTCTATTAATACTTCTGGTTCACTGGGTCTGGAACTTGGTACTTTCCGAGAATGACTACCTGCCATGCTGTTTCAGTTTTTAACTAAAGAAGTAATTCTTTAATCTGTCAGTTCTTCAACAGACTCCAGGTTTTCTCACGATATTGAGGAGTATTTAATAAAACTTTCGGTCGATTTTCTGATTGTTGTTAATTGTGCTGTGTTAATTTATTCATATTTTTAAAATTTACTTATCTGTTTTCAGTTTTGTCCGTGATGCCGAAAAACGCGCCATCGTCGTCCGTTTGCTGGACAGCGTCAACATCATTTGCCCCCAGTACAGCCGGCGTACGCCGGTAAATCGGGTAGAACAATCGGTCATTTACTTGGTAATTAACGAATTACATATACTTTTAACAAACAGCTAATCGATACCTCCTTCTACAGCTATTCATTCAAATACCGAGTTTAGCACATTTTTAGTCGATTTTGAGTGATACAGTAAGTTAAATCTGATGAGAGTGCCAATGCACCTATGCCTAGTATTATTATTAAGTATTAATTCAGATTCTTATCCATTCTCACACCATGGTAAACGGTAGGCACGATGTGACGTTACATTATTGTCTTCACTTTCAGTTGTTTCAATTGGCCCTTGAATGTTTCATCGATGCAGACTGATAAAATATTAATTCAAGCTTATACATGTAATATTCAGTCAATATTGTGCTTTCACAACGTGACTGTTTAAACGGTATCTTAGAGACGAGATTCTCATTCCTATTGGCAGCATCAAAAACTAGCAAAATGCTAGTAGACCCATATGTTACACAATGGTTGACTTTTGCTATGTATTCCTGCCGATTGAAGAAGAATAACATGTTTCTATTAAACCCAACAAAATGATGTTGTTTTTCTCCCATCCACTGCATCCAATAAATTACCATTGAACCGTGGTATTCTGAACAGCTCCTCTCCCGCAAAAAAATGTTTCTAGAAGTAGTCGTATGCATCCAGAGAAATGACGGAGATTTATATTCAACAATTATAGTCTTCTATTTCATGTTGCAAACATTTCTCACGGTGGTAACGTTAGCGAATGCCAGATGTTCGATTCAAGATGCCCTACGGCTACAAATACAACGAAAAGCATGAGCTTTCCGCTTTCCTTAAAATGTCTAAGACCAAAACACAAGCTGCTAACTGTATCACTTATTTCAGTACGTGACGAAAGGCATCGTGCCACTCACAGTCACCCTTAATTGATTTTGTATGTTATTGGCTGTAACTCAGATTAATCGAGTCCCATCCATTTATGAAATGATGTTTCACGCAACTTTACAGTATTTCTGAATTTCAGGTTGAACAACGTGCCTATGACAAGTGCATGATCGACAACACGGCCAGGCTGGTCGGCCTGTGCACAACTCCCTATCGCTCTCAGATCATTACAATTGTCTTCCGTGACTTCACACCCAGTCCCAGTGGTCTCGAGTTCATGCCTAACCGGCCGTATTTCCTCATTAGTAAGTACCACTGCAATCAGTTTGTTTTCACGGTTCCGAACATAACGATGAAGAGAATGAATATATCGTCTTCATCTTCATCTTCATCTTCCATCGCCGCTTCTCCTTTCGGGTCGCGGAGGCAGACGCGTCAGAC